TCCTCTATTGTCGGCCTTACTGATGTTCCCTTCCTGGCCGTTTTAATATTGCCACAGTGAGTGCATTCGTTGATCGCACGGAACTGTATAGAATTGCTGTCTTCCAAAAAAAGGAAACCGCCGGGAAAGCCGTTTTATGTGCGTTTGGTCCCCGTGATGTACGCAATTCGTTATTTCTTTGTCCAACGTCAGTCATATTCTGCACGTGATCGGACCAAAGCACCGCTCAATATTCCAACAGGCCTCGGATCATGAAGCTCGCTTGATCTCTACCGCGTTCTAACTCGGTTATCAAAAGGTATTGCAAGTAGATCTCACCCATCCGATCTTCTGCACTACTCAGGCTCCTACAATATGCAAGATGGGAATTCTCTGAAATCTTCTTTTGAAATAAAGTGTGGAATTGTTAGTAGAGACAAACGTGGATATATGCCATGGACATAGATAAGAAAGCACACCTATTCACATATACCGGGCCAACCTGGATCCATATCAGTATCTGCATGTGTGCCCCGTGACTTGAGCCTAGAACTTGACCGTCATACCGTTTGCTAGGTTTTTGTTTCTTGTAGCGTACGTAGCCTGCTACTTCTTCTAAGAATGCGTCTAGAATTGGGATTTGGGGTTTGAGATTCCGAATTCCCTTCGCCTCCGCTACCCCTTGCACTGCCGACCTGGTGGGCTCGTTTTTCTGCCATTTTGATTCTTTTCAGCCAAGATCCAGACAGGTGGGGCTTTGCCAGACGTATGGCTTCCAGAATGCGTTGTTGCCTCTCCAATGCTCGCTTGTCTATGCTCGAAAGACCCTCAAGTCTATCTATCTCCGATTCTAGATCGTGCACAAGAGAATAAGGATAAGCCAAACGCGTCTTACTGGCCCTTGTCTCTTCTTGTTGCCGCTCTTTCTTTGAAAGAATCCAGGACCAGTTGTCTACCTGGTTCAGCCATCCCGAACTTTTCAGGTCATAGTTCAGGAGTTGGAGGACTTGTTGCTCCATATGTACTATAACGGCAACACTTTGAGCGTTCATGCGAGTGATCACATGCTGATAGTCACCTTCCAAGACGCCATTGTGCGATACTGGCTCGTCGATACAGGGCCAATCTCTGTGGAGTACTGGCGATGGAAGGAATCAGCTTGTCCAAGTCTCTCGTTTGGCGTCAACACCTCACCTTTCTGGGATATTAAGAAACAAGTAAGTGCGAGTGCTCGGAACCCAGATAGACTCTTAATAGACCGAGCTTCTGCTAATAATTGTAAGAACCGAGAGAATATATCTTTGGCATAGAGTAACATGATGACCGTCGTTTGATCCATGACTGGGAGAGCTCTCCTAAAATAATCTCTTTCCTCTCGTTTTATATGCTCTTTTTGCGATCCCGTCGTCTCTGGACAACTTAAGTATTTAAAGAACTCCTCGACGATGTCCTAGCACATTGTAAGTTCTAGTCAACTCGTGTGAATCAAAATTCTCATACATCTACCAAAAGATCTCGAAGGTCGTTAAAATCCATGAGGGTCTAAGATGGTAGCAGACAATAGGATTGAGTACAGACTTTATCTACCGCAGTCGCTCTGCTGGCCAGTGATATATGGACAAAGAACCAGTTGTCAAATTGCAGTCCTGAAATGGAGCACAGAGAGACAGATTGAGTCGATGATGCATCGAAGGTAAAGACAGCTCCCAGCCAATTGCAGGGCCATCGGCTCTTCTTAGCCCATTATTTCAATGGCCCCACTATTCGACCATAAGCGCTGTTGGGATGACCCTGAGCATGTTCAAATGGGCTCAACCCCCGGATATCCAAATCTAGGGAGCGAAAGACCCTTTTTAGATCCCGGTGTCCAATTGTGACTTGAACTGTACCTGTCTTACGAAGCCGGCTTCTCTCGTGTCGTGTATTTATTCCTAGTGCCATATCCCTACATTGGGTGTCACTGAAACATGTTGCGTCGGCTCAAATATCCATTCACTCTTTTGAAACGGCGAAAGAGACTCAATTACATTAATGTAAATACGCCCCCAGTCGAAGGATGGCCCATAAAGGCTCAGATTCCTGATCAGTATTCCTTGTCTCCTTGCAAGGCATTGATTGACCTTGATGGGTCCGTTGACTCAAAGGAATTACCGGAGGTGCACGCACAACGACTCAATGCGATTCAGCGCCGGGCTCAACGGCTTGACCACTGGGGTCTGTTTATTGGACTCGTTCCAGTGTGCGGTTTGCTGTGTCTTTTCCACCGTGTCTGATCTTACTGACTGTACCCACAGCATCGGCGATATCGTTAACACTGCCCTTGCGGTGAGGCTACTCTATGGTTGTCGGAGGTTGGGCACCAAGCTCCCTCCATCGCTATATAAAAGGATGGTGGCCAATATAATCATCAGTCTTCTCATTGGTTCTTTTCCTATTTGCGGAACCATTCTTGACCGGTGCTTGGTCAGATGCAACAAACGAAATGCTCTCATCCTTCAATCTTTTTTCAATTCCCAGGGCTGCCAAAGGACGAGAGACTGAAAAATACAATAGCAAATGAAGGGGCGATACAGGATTGGTTAATACGAAGGCCTATCGTTACAGGGCGCATGAAGCATCCTAAGTTGATACGCGGGATAGTCAAGTTCTGGGATTTAGACTGATTTTATGTAAGACCACTAATAACCATGACTACTATAACTTAGTTTCGTAGATAGGTGGCGTTCCGGGTGAATGCTCAACTGATTGGATCGATATCGGCGACTATGTCTCATTGAACGTCAACAGTGCAAAGTGGTGAAACGCTCTCTCAACTTTGTCTTCCGCATATGTTGCATTGATCTCACCGCAATATGCTGTATAGTCTCTGTGACACTAGCACGGTTCTTTTTAGAATGCATTAAGCCCGACTTTTACGAAAAGCAAGGGGGAAAACGGAGATAAAAAAACGAACGATAGACTCTGATGAACACTCAGTTTGACTTTCGGTAATACCCAGGAACGCTAGACGTATCAATGTTTTTGGAAAACCGTTTTATGTTACCTGCGTATTCCAGATGTGATTTCCAAAAACACCCACAGTTGATCAAGGTATAATCCCTTAATCGGGCCTGAACAGCGTTAGCGCGTTATGTCGACCATTTTGAAAACGGTGGTCAAAAAATGAATTTGGAGACTAATACCAAATAAACTGACTTATTGCGAGTACGTCAAATCAAACTTTTGTATTAGTCCCAGAAAGTTGCTGCAAATTTGTGGACGCTGTATATTTATTTATTCAAATACTAGAAGAATGGAAGTGAGGACTCCCGCAGATGGTGTAGTCTCTAGATAGCGTTACCTTCAGATAAGCTTGTTGTGGTATTTCTGGCATTCATCATCACGGAGATCTCTGTCCATAACGGTTTGCGGATTTGAAACCCCAAGCACATTGTAACGTTGACATGACGTGTTTCCCAGATGGTCCTCCGGGCGTTACTTTTACTAATTGATCAAGGCGATTGGGTGATAATTGTGACAACAAAAAAGTGCTAAGAGTTTGCACGTACGATGAATGGGTCGGCCACATAGCTACGTAATAAAGTAGAGTCACGGCCAGCGGATCCTGCTACATACAGCGCATTGACAACCCATGATAGTAGCCCATATTCTGTGATAGCCAGTAGCAAAAGTAATGTATCTAAAGCAGCAGTGTCGACCCTGCTCTGCCGAAAATCACAACATGAATTCTTGTCTACAGTGCTTGCAGTTTTCCCATTTGTTTCCGTCCTATCGTGAACAGACCACAAAAGTTTTCGAATAAGACTTGTTCTTGCATCTGCAGACCCCAATGTGCTGGCAGAGATTCCAATAAGACTAGGCTGACATAGATACTTGTCTGCAATGCAGATGTAGATCTTAGTTGAAGCGAAACTGTGACATAGCGTATGATTTATTGTACGCATACCGGACCGAGCATTTGGGTCCTCAGTGGGTGAGAGCGAGACTTGTCTTTGATTTCTCTGAGCTTTCGTTCCAGGAATGGGTTAGTTGAAGGTATTTGTTGGTTTTCTCTTCTGAGCTTTTCGATACGAGTGCAAAGAAAAGGGGTGCTGTCGCTGGGCATGATTTCTGACCTCTACGCACCTCAAAAGGTCGGCTTCTTATCTTTTGTGGCGTGTACGTGAAAGGTAGACGAACAAAAATCATTAATTGTTGTGTCTTTTTTGGAACTTGGCATCCTCAGCTGCACAAAAAACATGCAACTAAATTTAGCCATGCGAAGGGCTGCGGCGCTGTCGCGCCACTATTCGATGTCCCTGATTTGATAAGTATGCACCACCGGCGAAACTTGCCCTCATTGCCTCATCCTCAAGTTTGATCCAATACCGACAGCAACCTTATCTGGTGCTCTAAAAAAGACCGCAGAAGCGGTTTGTCTGTCTTTTTTTTCCATCTTTCAAAGCATTTCTGGGCGGATACCTTGGTCAACGAAAAGGGCAGGCATTCAATTTCGGACCATAAGGCTGCCGGAAAGATGGTATAAAGTAGGTGTCAGTACAACTTTCTTGGTTGAAGGAGGACTCTCAATGGCCCCTTCTGTCTTACCATGGGCTATCCTTCCAAGCTGTCAGGTGGACAGCTTGAGCACGTTGATTCAGCTGTATGAGCCCTATACCGATATTGAGCAGTTGAAATGCCAACCAGTCTGCGTAACCATCATTGGCTATGAACAGCCACAGGCATACGGTCCTGGTATTCATACATCATTATATGAGGTTCAAGGTGAAAACACCGTATGCAACTTTTTGCAGCTTTCTGCGGCCTGTAGCCTCAAGCCACAACCACTCTATGCCAAGCAGTCTGTTTCTATAGATGCCGAGCACACTGCTAAAATCTTTCATAGCCTATGCCTGGAGTTTAGTGACGTTATATGTATCAAAGCCCGAACCGTGGACGAGGCTGTTCACAGATTCCTACAGTTTCGAGACTGCACTGATGTTAGAGCCGATAGAAAGCCCCAGTTGATTATTCTCTTTGAAATGATTTCATCACAGACTACAGTAGATGAGACGGGCGTAAAGAAACACCTCGAAGCCAAATTGGCCAAAGATGGGAATGCCTCCCAGTGGACTTCGCAACTATTGCAGCATTTGATTGTGCAATTTGATGACCCGCAAAAAACGAATTTGCCCGAACTTTTGACCCGCATCCAAATGTATACTACCACAATGAAAAAGAGACGCGAAAAAAAGAGCCACATATGGACACTTGGAGAGCTCAACTATCTATTTGAGCAATACATCGTCACCAAAATGCCTTTTGTAGCATACCGTCAAGATCTGCCGAGGCTTAGCAGCCCAAGGCGGGGCGCCACCTGGTATCCAATGGCGTTTCGAAAGCGGATATGGCCCGGAAAAGAGATACAAAAACATAACGGCTTATCACAATGGCTCCAGGCCATGGATCACGATAGCGATTTGAACAGCGTTTTGGCCCCGGTCTTTGCAAAGATGTTTCTGGAGGATGCCGGCCTCCTCCCGCACGGTATGTATTATCCCACCGAAAGAGCCCACACCACACTTATCAGAGTATGCTGGTGCATTTAGATTTCCTCCCGCAGAGCTCGTTGCAAGCATATATGGGCCATTGTGTAGACAAGCGTGGCACTGTGCCGTTCAGCAGTGTGTCTGGATAACCCACAAAGGACTTAGCAGCTTTTTAGATGATGTAGTCTCAAAAATGGGGCTCCAGATCACGGATCTCTGGCACGATGCGCAATTGGGGCTACAAAAAGTCCGAGGAAAGCCATTTTGCTGCATGTGTCCATGGAGCCTGCAACCCTGGGCCGTTTTCCCTTGCGGTCACAGCTTATGCGAGCGCGACGCCTGGCGTTATTCTGGGATCCAACCCAATGATGCCGGGCACCCGACTTTGGCCCAATTCAAAGCCTGCCCGGCATGCCATGCACCGGTGGACATAAAGTTACGGCTTCGCCCGTTACAGGCCGGTTATCGAGTCGCAACATTTGATGGAGGTGGTGTCTTAGGAATAGTCTCGCTCATTGCTCTTCGAGCTATTACCGCGAGCCTTCCAGAGGCACTGTCCGTACATCACTTTTTCGATCTCATAGTCGGTACAAGTACAGGTACGTTGAGTTGGGCCTTGTGAGTCTTGTGCACATAAACGAGGTTCAACTGACGGTCAGAGGAGCAGGCTCAATCATAAGCGCTGCGCTTGGTCTTATGCAATGGCCGTTGTCGTATTGCATTGAGATGTTTTGCTCCACGGCAAGTGACGTATTTATGAAGAACCGCGGATTAATAGCCCTTGTGCGAAGATTGCTCCGTCTCCACAAGACCGGGGCACGATATGACATGAATGTATTTTGCCACATACTCAGAAATGCCTTTGGAAATGACCTGATGCGACAGAGCACAGTGAGAACGAAACCAGATGTTGTACGTGTAGCCATCACGTCGGCAACCTTCGATTCACAACTATGCTTATTCCGTTCCTACGGAGACGTGGTGCGCGAGGTAGAACACGGAAAATACAAAGCAGAGAGCTTGTTCGATCTTCCCCTGTGGCAAGCGTATGTTTCCCGTTACTCTGATGACCATGGCCTTGGTTTGTTCCCAGATAGGATATGCTGATCTTCTCTGGTTCTTACGTAGCATTGCCACAAGCTGTGCTGCCCCTTGGTCTTTGAGCCAGTGAACGGACTTCAGGATGGGGCTTTTGCTGCTAATTGCCCTGCTTGGGTGGCAATGATGGAGCTGAATGAGCTTTCTATGCTAGGCAGCCGTCTACTTGATTATTCGGTAAGCTTTGGGACTGGTCGGTTTCTGTGCCCGGACAAAAGCCGTTCGCGGAGATGGATAAAGCATCTCGTTCCAGAATGGGTTTCGAGATTAGGCTGTGGTTTGGGCAGTGTAGTGGACGCCGATTCTATGTATGGAAAATTTTCCAGTGCCCTCAATCGAGCCGAAAGGGATGGTAAACATTATCGCGTGGAGCCGTCGTTGAGAAAACCGCCAATTGCACTGGATGACGCAGCCTTCCTTGCAGATCTCATCACGGAGACAGAACAATACATGGAGTCCCTCAAGTCCAGCAAAGCATTTCTCACTTACAGCTTGCAATGCTTGCGTCTTGTTTCTATGCTGCTTTGCTGTCACCGCCAACCTTTAACTCCAATGTAGGACAATACTGCGTCCAACTAGCAGTTCTGTCCCGATGGCCCGAAGATGGGGACATATGTCAGTCACTCGGTGAGAAACTAGAACATGCATCTTTTGTTATGGGTACCCTGACGCGCCCGTACACGATCCCTTTGTACTGTACGATTTACGTGAGCTCCTCTAGATACGCCTATTGACATAGGTCTCACTGTTGACGGAATAACATCGCACCCTATCAGCGGGGCCCCGTTGTCTCTGATGCAATTGATGTACCTGCAACATCCGCCATTCTGGTCCTCACTCTACTGCTCGTAAGCGGGACGGCTCTCATTTGGCCGATAGTTGCAATAAACGTCGCCGTACTACCTAAGATGCCTGCGAGATGGTTCTGGAACTGACTACTTCCCGAATGTGACATTCGCCGCAAAGCCTTTTCCTTTTCTCTGCGAAACTCTGAAAAATATAGCATTGCTGATATAACGATACTCTATGACCGTAGTCATGTTTGCAGTTTGCAGATTTACGGAACTTTGAATTTCCGTCGCTTTATTCAAGCCGTGCTCGTGCCTTGCATTGCCAGATTGGTTCTTGCAGCCACATCTAATCATTCATATGAAAGAACATCGTAAAGAAGAATGAACTGTAACTACCAAGATCGGTATCTGACTATGAGAGACTGAATGCGTTTAGTTTTCTCTGCCGCTGTACGCCTCGACGATTCTATAATTTGTGGCTGCAGCAAACTCTGATTCAATGTTCCAATGTGCTGCTACCATCGCCATTTGCTCAAGATTTAATCAATATTCTAGACTGATAACTTTGTGTGCGTCATCGGGTAACATTACCAAGGTCAAAATTGTAAGACTCGCGTTTGTCTTGGTAGCCGGAATCCAATCTTTGTGTGTGAGGCAAGCTTTTGTCTGTATCTTGGCATCGGGTTTAGAGCACTCCTATCTCGGTATAGAGCTCCGTTGTGAACCGTGACAGGTAGAAGGTAGTATATCAGACTGGGTGATTGCGTAATCCCTAAGTGCGGAGAACGAATAGGAAATAGCATGCAAGTTTCAGCTCTTGCGGTGTGCTCATTCAATCGGTACTTCTAGCGCCATTCAGAATACTCCATGCAGCTATATTGTGTTTACATATTCTTTTAGCCTTGGAGGTGCTACCGTAACGAGGCGCTCCGTCAGCCGTTTTATTTGTAGCCGGATCTTCAACAGAGATCCTGATCCCTAGCTTGAGTCTGACATTTGGTCAGATCTGGGTGTCCTGTTCACAGCAATATTTGAGCAGATACATGTACCTTTCCTAGCTAATGCATCGAATTTTCCTGGATATGATCACGGCTACTTTTTGAATCTCTTCCGCCACACTAGGCTACGAGGCATCTCACAATGAGCTAGAAAACTTTATTTAAACCGAGTCCTTAAAGCTGTTTGACACCCTGAACGCGGCGCTGAATCTCAAGGATGTCGGTCTCCACGACACCAACCGTGTCATCACTGCAATATACGGTTCTCTAGGTTCATAGTCAAAGTCAAAATGGCGATCAAAGGCTACAGTGAATATTCTTTTAATCTTCACATTCTTTCATTCTTCTTTTTTCGTCACTACTTATGTTCTTCCAGGATTTGCGGGACGAAGCAGAAGAGGATTTGAATATCGTATGTCAATGACTGAAATTTATGCGCCTTGATGACAATTTTGAGTATCAGAATAGAAACATGGATCGAAATAATAAACAGGCATCGTAAGATTGGTATGCAAGTCATAATTAGAATATTTCGTCGGGCGGCTCCCACGTTTGCTGTAGCAGAAGTCCCAAATCTTTGAGCGACATCAAGGAATAAACTAATGAGCAATTCTTTAATTTTTAAAGCAAATCCTTGAGTATTTTGCACAGTCCAACCACCTGGTTCACCCACGCTCATCAAGCAATTCTGTGGACTCTTCTCGGCTAATGCGCGGGATCTAGTATATGCAGGTTGCATCAGCTTAAGCTTTATTCTGGAGGCCGATTATCAAGATAATCAAATGAAAAGGGAAACGAACCATTCTATGGGGCAACTCGGCTATCGAAGCCCAAGGGAGCGTAAAGACGTGAGGGCCTCGATGAGATGCAGACTGGCCGAGAAAGCAAAGCCCATCTCGGGAAACTCTGGATGGCCTTATCGCATGCCATATCGGCAGTAGGCGCGTGACCGTCGCTGCCCGCAAATGGTACACATCGTAGGCTGGTTGGACTAGTGGCCCGGGAAGCTGGAGTATGGGGAGGTTGTAAGGCTTTTCTATCACAAAAACGTCTTGGTGATCCCTATCAATGCCAAGCTGTCTTGATACATGATGTGCGCAACTGAAAAGAAGTAAGAGTCTGAATCGCAGAGTCATACCAGAAAGGCCACCATTCGAAAGCCAAAATTCAGATCCTGTTGATGAAGCGCATCGGGCTGCCAGCTTTAACCCGATAGATTTCCGCAGAAATTAGATTTGTTCACCATCTATTGAGCTATATATGTAGTACAATACCTGGCACTAATAATCTCGTACTGCATTCTAACGACTCTCATCTCACGACATCTGAAAGATCAGCCAAAATCGACGGCCCGTTGTCGTTGGTTAGCACCTGAATGGTCCCTTGACTGAGGCTGTTGTGCCATGCCTTCCGCCCATATTGGCGTGACTGTAGTTTTATTTATGGAAGTATCCTACGTATCCCTGCACCACACCGGCACATTACGCTTCGGATCTAAATTTGGCACCGATTACCAATAGCGTGTTATTCTTTGTGGCGCCCATGGACATTGTTTGGAAGCTTTTCAAGGACCTTCCACCTGACTCATACATTACCTCCAGTCCCTACACTGAATGCTCCTCTCGAACGCCCTTCCACGCTGTCCCATTCTTCCATTGCTCCCATGATATCACGACTGAGCTATCCAAGAAAGCGAAGGAGTTTGCAACATTGTAAGTAAGCCATGTCCACTGCAAGAGCGTACGCCTGATAGAATTTCAAAACACTAGCATTCTCCCACCTCTACTGTGGCCCGCACGTAAAATTCGGATCGACTTCTTGAAGCATCACTGATAAGGGCAGCCTCAAACATCTTCTGCGCCGAGTCGTCGTACTTCTCCGCAATACTTGAGTACAGGATCCCGGATCTCTACAGCAGCAGACAGCGACTCTGAGCAGTGGAAGGCATTGGTTCCAGACAAAGCGTCGA